CAGGAGGGGGCGGAGACAAGACCAGTCACCCTGCACAAGGAGAGAGCAGCAGTGAGCGGCCTTTATTACAGGAGGGGGCGGAGACAAGACCAGTCACCCTGCACAAGGAGAGAGCAGCAGTGAGCGGCCTTTATTACAGGAGGGGGCGGAGACAAGACCAGTCCCCCTGCACAAGGAGAGAGCAGCAGTGAGCGGCCTTTATTACAGGAGGGGGCGGAGACAAGACCAGTCACCCTGCACAAGGAGAGAGCAGCAGTGACCGGTCTTTATTACAGGAAGCTCCAAGTGTCACACTGGATTAGTGCACAGATCTGGAAGAAATACACAAAACTCACCGAGATTCAGGAAGAACACACAGGACTCTGAGGATGATATCTGTTGTGCCCGGAGTTCAGTTTTGAGACCTTTTTGGCCTCTAAGCAAAAATGTTGGGAGGTTGATAATATTAATTGTGTTTCCTATATTCCTTCATGTGTTGATATCAATCATTATTCTCTCTAGGGATTACTGGTGGCTACAATATTTTGTTTCTTCAATGGCGAGGTAAGTTTACTTTTTTCTGTAATCCTATCGATGATGACATCACAAATAGCTCATCACATGTTTTACTGAGAATGTGGATGAGTATTTATTTTTCTTCATACTGTATAACAGCGGTTCTCAACCTGTGGGTCGCCGCCCCCTCTTGAGTGGGTCGCCGCAGTGTTGGTCACTCCCCAGCCGCCTGATGTCGCTGCAGCAGTCAGCAGGGAGGAGCAGAGAGAGGGATGCGAGAGGGAACGACACATGAACAGTAGGTGAGGAGGTTCCCTTCCTGCCGATACTGCTTCACTGACTAGTACTACCAAGGGCCGTCTGTATAATTCGGGCCCATCAATGCAGGAATGCTGGCTGTGTTCGTTGTCTCGGCTTCCATTGTCTGCTCCGTCCACTCTGCGCTGTCACCAGGCTTCCGCTGTAAATGAGCGGCATGTCCTGCCCTGAGAGCCGCTCCGACCCCTCTAATCCCGGCCACCTATTTCTGCTGCTGGCTGCTGTGCCTATTAAGGAGGCAGAGCCGGCACTCTAATCATGGGGCTGCAGCCCTTGGAGTTCAGGCACACAAGGCAGAGCTGGACAGATACAATAAGTGCATCAAGGACCTGCTGAAAGAAGGACCTAATCGCTGCCAGCAACAATGAGCGAGACCTGGCACAGGGAGAAGGATGGCAAAGTGGGGGGGGGATAGGACAGGACAGTGAGGGAAGGATGGCACAGTACAGGGGGGAAGTATGGGACAGGACATTGGGGGCGGGGGCAAAAGGTACAGAATGGGGGTGTGAGGTTGGCACGGTACAAAGTGGAAGGATGGTATAGAATAGGAGGGAGGGTGGTACAATTCAGCGGGTAGGATGGTACAGTACACAGGTAAAGGATGGCATAGGACAGGGTGGAGGGCAGCACCATTCTGTTTACTATGCGATTGACATTGTGTAGTTTTGCATCACCCCTGCTGTACGCCGCACAACCTCTCCCTTTTTTGGGATGCTGTGATGGAGAGGGGAATAGCATGGTGGGTGCAGGGCAAGTAGGTAGTGTGACAGGGCGAGGTGTGGCGAGTAGGGGACGTGGCGTGGGGGTAAGGGTGGAGCGGCCCAGAAAAATGTTTGCTCAGGGTCCAATTAATATTAAAAGGCGGCCCTGCTGACCACTTCAGAGATATTACTGACTGCCGCTCAGTGTTAATGGGGGCAGGGGTGCGATGTTGCTGTGCTAATGCTATTGACAGACTGTCACATTGTGACAAATGTGACATTTGTGATGTTGCTCATATTCCCAGTTGGACTTTTTGTGCTGCTACACCTATCCGGTATTAATGTACGTCCACATCTCCCCTTCAAGTTATATACTCCGATTTATGCACCCCAACAAGCTTTTGGCTCTGCACCACCTCCTCTGGCAGAATGCACCCTCTATGGCAGTGGTGGGGAACCTCGGCACTCCAGCTGTTTTGGAACCACAAGTCCCATGAGGCATTGCAAGGCTCTGACGGCCACAGACATGACTCCCAGAGGCAGATGCATGTTGGGATTTGTAGTTTTGGCACAGCTGGAGTGCCAAGGTTCGCCACCACTGCTCTATGGGGTGATATGGAGTATGCGCGGGAGCCAGTGCAATTGGCATTGTGTTCTGTATCTCCCGTGTCAGAAGAAGACATGGGAAACTGACCATGCCTGGATGGATCTACCTCTTGCCTAGGGTGGTCAGTAACAAATAGGAAGGGAGTTGTTTCCTGAAGGAGCTGGCAGGATCACCGGGTACGTTATGACAGTAGAAAATCACTACTTTACACTTCTTCATAGAGACAGTTTTGTTTTTATTCCACCCGAAATGTATTTATTTGGTTTAAACTGAAAGTTCAATTGGACTTCAATGAGCCATGTAGAAACACAAGCAGGAGAACACAAAGCAAGCACCGCGTCCTCTTACATGTCGTATGTTTGTCTTTGGGTTTTTTTTTTAGGTTCAAGGTGTTCTGAAAAGACATTGGAACCAGTACAAGATCCAGTTCGGAAATAGCTTTGCCCACTCCGAGGGCCTCCGATCGGCGTCCTACACCATATCCTCCATTAGCGAGGCGCAGGGCACCACGTATACCCACGACTACAACAGCGAGCACACAAACGGGAAGAACTGCCATGACATGGAGAACATATCCTTCAAACCTGAGAAGCCCTACATGTGAATGGCGAGTTACCGCTCCGAGACTGTGCGCCCGTGTGCCGAGGAGAACCACTGCCAATGCCTACTACTCATGTTATGTTTGTTTCAGTACGTATTTCTATATTTATAGTAAGTTTGTAAACTGCATTATGGTTTTTGTTTTGCACTTGTATAGAAGACAACTTCTACCCGGCCAGGAGAATTCAATGAGTAAATATGTTGGCCGCCCACAAGCCCGATACACTGGGCCGCCCTCTCAGCTCACTGGGTGCCAAGAGCTGAGTGGGGGCCGCTCCCATGTCCTAACCACCAGTCCATCCAAAGGAGAAAAAGCCAATGCCGCTCTGTTAAAATTCAGTGCAGGTGTAACTTTATTAGCTGTGTTAAATTTTAGCAGAGTGCTGTTGACTTTTTTTTCCCCTGGTGGTTGGGGCAAAGGACGAGCCCCTCAAGCCCGTCAGCTTATGGCACCCAGTTAGCTAAGACAGCACTCCAGTATGATGGGCTCTCTTGGCTGACCAGGTGCCAGAAGCCATGCAGGGGCTTGCCCTAGGCCCCAACCACCAGTAAATCCATAGGAAAAAAAAGCCAATGGCGCTCCCTTAAATTCAACACGTGTGTAACTTTATTGTTCTGGACAAGCAGACACAAAGGCCCCACCTGCAGCCTCCTCCACAGACGCGGTTTACTAAAAGGAGAACTATGGGATTAAGGATTTTCCCCATAGTTCTCAGGGTAACGGGAGGACACAAACTAGCGTCCTCCCGTCACCCTAAGCTCAGTATATAGGGAGCTACAGCTCGCGGTATACTGAGACGCCGCAGCTGAAGCGGATCCCGACAATTATGCCGAGATCTGCGCAGCTGCATGAGTGACAGGTGGCTCTGCCTATCTAGAGGCAGAGCCAGCTGTACCCGCCCCCGTCCGTTCCGCCAGTCAGCGCTGGCGGATCGGAGCGGGGAGGGGGGAATCCAGCCCCTCCCCTGTCA